TGCATCACTGATGACAGAGATTTTACATCAGGTTTATATTTCGTGACCTTCAGAGATATGCACGAGCTACTACTTTCATCTGTCAGGCTACTCCTATTACGAGACTTAACAAAATTCATCACCGAGAACAAAGATTCACGATTGTAAATTGAAGATTATAAGAGAGGGTTTCATGTGCCAGCAAATTTACTGGCGTGCCATGGGTTACCCACCCCTGGAGTAGGATATCTCAGCAGCTGGTCTTCTGGGTTTGGGCACTACCAGTTTCTCCTGGGTGGTCCTTGCCACCTCAGTACTGCCTTGTCTCCCTGCCCTAAACTCCCACATCCCACCACAACTGCCTGGGTTCCAATGGGGGTGCTACCTGCTCCTGCCTCAATGCCCCAACTAAGTACCCTCGCAGTGGTCCCTGGATCTCCTCCCACATCTTTACCCCACTTGGGTCTGAGGCATCCTAAGGGCTGCTCCCAGTACCTTTGAAAGACTCTCTTCTTGGCTCCTCTACACATTGTGGGCTGAGATTTCCCTCTTCAATCTAATTTTGTCTTCCTTTAACCACTCCTTGTAGGTTCAGTTCCAGGCCTGTTGAGACCTCCTCTTCCCGTGTTTCGGTGTATTTGTTTATTTCATATTTATATCTTTCATTTATTGGATTTTGTTCAAAAAACGGCCAGACTGTTCCCCAAAGTGGCTGCACCATTTTAGCTCCCCATCAGCAGTGTGAAGTTCCTGATTTCTCCACGTCCTCACTCTGGTTTGCTACTGTCTGCCTTTTTGGCCCCAGCGCTCCCATACTCACTTCTCTGGGAACTCAACGAGAAATTCTTGGCATTTGGACCTGTTGCTACTTGCTGCTACTTTCCTTAGCCAGTTCTCTCTTCAAGCAATCATGGAGGAACATTTTCTCCCTGGGATCAGAGTGTGGTGTGAGGAACCTAACTAACTACAACAGCAGCAGCAGTAACACCCTCTCTGGTTACTACTTACTGAATGATTACTACACGGCAGGCCCTGTGCTAATCACCATAGGTCTCTCATTTAATCCCATTTACAGATTAGGAAACTGACAATGAAGTTTAGGGCTGAGCTTGGCATTTCTTGTAGTCCAGGGGTCATGGTGGAATTCATAACTGCTACCTACAGATGAAGAAAGTGATGAATATCAGCCAACCCTACAGTTTAATTAAAAACAAAAAATCAAAAACCAAAAAAATGATAAAACAAACTGAAAAAGCACACACCAACAAAACAGTGGGCTAAAGATTGGAACAAATACGTCACCAAGATATACAGATAGTCGATGCTCAACACTATTAGTCATCAGGAAGATATTAAGTCTACAATGAGATACTATTATGCACTCACCAGAATGGCTAAAATAAAAAAGACTGACAACAGCAAGTGTTGACAAAGATGTAGAGCAATTGGAACACTCAGTATCACTGGTGGCAGTATAAAATGGTACAACTACTTTGGAAATAAGGGTCTGGCAGTTTCCTAAAAAAAACTAACTATAGGACTTCATCAAAATTAAAAACATGTGCATCAAAGGACCCACTCAAAAGAGTGAAAAGGCAACCCCCCAAAATGGGGGGGGGAATATTTGGAAATTATATAGCTAATGAGGGATTAATATCCAGCATATACAAAAAACTCAACAACAACCTAATTTAAAAATAGATTAAAGATTTGAACAGACACTTCTCCAAAGAAGATACACAAACAGCCGATAAGCACATGAAAAGATGCTAAATATCACAAATTATTAGGAAAGTGCCAATCAGAACCACAATGAGATACTACCCCACACCATTAGGATGACTACTACTAAAAAACTCCCCCAACATAAAACCAGTGTTGGCGAGGATATGGAGACATTCGTGGTGGGCATATAAAATGATACAACTTCCGTGAAAACAGTGTGATGTTTCCTCAAAAAATTAAACAGAATTATCATATGACCCAGCAATTCCACTTCTGAATATATATCCAAGAGAAGTGAAAGCAGGAACTTGAACAGGTATCTGTACACCCCCGTTCATAGAAGTACTACTATTCACAATACCCAGAAGGTGGAAGCAACCGAAGTGTCCAATGACTGATGAATGGATAAATAAAACGTGATATATAATACAATATAATGCTATTCAGTCTTGAAAAGAAAGGAAGTTTTGACACAAGCTCTAACATGAATAAACCTTGAAAACAGTATGCTAACTGATGCAAGCAGACACAAAAGGCAGATGTTGTATGAGTCCACTTGTTTGAAGTACCTACATTAGTCAATTTATAGACACAGACAGTAGAGGAATGGTTACCAGGGGCCGAGGGGAGAGGGTTATTATTATTATGGAGAGCTATTATTATTGCTATCATTGATTTTAGAGAAAGAGAGAGAGAGATGAGAAAAACATTGATTGGTTGCCTCCTACACGCACTCCAACTGGGGATCAAACCCTAAACCTGGGTATGTGCTCTGGCCAGAAATCAATGCTGTGACCTTTCAGTATATGGGACAATACTCCAACCAAATGAACCACACTGGCCAGAGCTGGAGAGTTATTTTTTAAAAAAATATTTTTTATTGTTGATAGTATTACAGGTATCTCCCATTTCCCCCCTTTCCTACCATCCTCCAAGCCCCTTGGAGAGTTATTTTTTTAATGGGTACAGATTTTTAGTTTGGGATGATGAAAAAGTTCAGGAGATGGTTAGTGGTGATGGTTGCATAACAATGTAAATGCACATGATGCCGCTTAAATGTGCACTTCAAAATGGTTAAAGTTACCTGGAAAAAGCCCAAATGCCCATCAGTAGATGAGTGGATAAAAATCTGTGGTACATTTACACAATGGAATGCTATGCAGCAGTAAAAAAGATGGATCTCTTACCCTTCGTGACCCCATGGATGGACCTGGAGATTATCATGCTAGGTTGAAATAAGCCAGTCAGAGAAAAACAAATATCACATGATCTCATTAATATGTGGAGTCGAATGAACAAAATAAACTGACAAACAAAATAGGTCCAGAGGCATGGATGGCTGGAACAGACTGACAGATCTCAGAGGGGAGGGAGATGGGGGAATGGGAAGAGATTAACCAAATAACATATGCATATAGGCATAGCCCATGGACATAGACAATAGTGTAAGGAAGGCCTGAGGTGGGGTGGGGGAAGGAAGAGGGGGGAGATGGGGGAGGGACCTTGGTAATACTGTTAACAATAAACTTAAAAGTTACAGACTTTTAATTATAGCGTCTGCCTATATCGCCGCCATCTTCTTCCAAAAGTTACAGACTTTTAATTATGTATATTTCACCACAATAAAAATTAAAAAAAAAACTCTGCATGAACTTACCTTATGACCCAGAAATTTCACTTCTGTATTTACCTAAAAGGAATGAAAGACTTGTACCAGAATGTTTTTAGCAGCTTTATTTATAACAGCTCCAAACAGGAAATAACCCGATGTTCATGAATAGAATGGCTAAACCAACTGTGATGTACAGTGTAAAGAAATATAATCAAAGCCACTCAGTCAGTTGTTGGCTAAACAGGTATGAACGAAGGTTGTTTTACTTGTTCCTCATCTTTCTTCAACCCCACAGGGTGAGCTTTCCTACTCACCCCAAAATTTGACCTAAGGACAGCCCTGTGTGTTACTGAAACCCTTGAGGCCCATGGCTCCCTCTTCTGTCCTCCTCTCCAAGGGAAGACTCTGTCATTATCTACGCTTCATCTCTAATATCTGCTACCCTGTCCCTGGTCCAGTAGGTTTGGATTCAACTGTTGCCATAACTGACAGAGGAACCACCCCATTTTCTCAGTAGGCGTGCTTGGGGCATTTGGGAATCCCAGCATAGCCGGTCCCTGTTTTCATCTCTCTAGTGGTCCTAGTTCTACTTTGTCTTTCCCATATTTCAAGGTAGGACCCTTTGGCCACCATCACCCTGTGAGCCCTGATTAGCGCCTCTCTTGAGGGTTACTAACCCCCAAGAGGCACGGTTTTAAATGCCAGGCACTGTCACAGGTCTCTCTCCCTCTCTTGTCAATGGCAGACTGAGCACTCTACTCTCTAGTGTTGAGGGCATGGACCTTTAAGTCACATAATTTGTATTTGAATCCCAGCTCGACCACTTACTTAGGTCACCCCACTGTGCCTCAGTTTCCTCATCTGTAAAAGGAAATAAAAATGCCACTTATTTCATAGGCTTGGCATGAGGATTAAGTTAGTTAAAAAGGTGTAAAGTTCTTGAAACACTGCCCAGTATATGGCAAACAGTGAATAATGTGTTATTTTTACCTACCGACCACTATGTTCTCCATTTTCTTTGAAAGGCCTTGTTCTCAAATGAGAAGGGAAAGAAGTAATTACTGCATTCTGTATCAGCCAGGATCCAGTCAGGAGGCAGAGACCACACCAGTCCTTTGAACAGGGAGCATGCAATATAGAGAATTGGTAATTAGTAAACGAAAATTAACCGCTGAATGGGGTAAATAGGACTCTAAAGAATACAGAAGGAACATACACAGGAGGCAGCCACAACCTCCAGAGATGACATAGAAAACCCACGGAAGGAATAAACTTGGAAGTGGCCCGCCCTCCCCGCCAGCACTCATTGGTGAGGGCGTGGTGGTGGCCCACGGGACAGCAGAGGAGTTTGCTGAGGTGCTGCAGGCTGCGGTTGGCAAGCAGGAAACTGTGTGCTGGGTGATGGCAAAATCTCACTGGGAAGCCGCCCACTGGCAGCTGTGCTGTAGAAACCGGAAGAAAGTTCTGGAACGAGGAAGAGAAGCCTGTGTTCCTCTAGCACCTTCCCCGTGTTAGGACTGACGAGGCCTACGCGGCACTGGCTGACAGGATCACAGAGCTGGACAGAGAAGGGTGTGTTTGGAGCAGGGGAGTACGAAGTTGGTAACAGGCACACACCCATCCATGTTCTCAGGTGCCCCAAGCCAGCAGCAGTCAGTGCTCAGTGGGGTGCAAAGGGCCCACGCAGGCCAACCAGGGGAAATGCCAAGTGGAATAAAAACCAACATCAAGTCTGCTTCAGTGCATCCCGACCTGCGGTGAGTGTGGCCAGCAGCCTCCACTCCCAGGTGCTCTCTGCTGAGCTGAGCAGTGAAGTTGCCTTTTGCCCAAAGCTGACCTAGATGGGCCACTGAAAGAGCAGGGGCTTTCGGCCACAGACAAACCCCTGCTCCACCACCGACCAGCTGTATGACCTTGGGCAAGTGACCTAACTTTTCTGAGTTTGTTTTCTTCTTTGTAAATGGGTTGTTGTGAGGATTGACATGAGAAAACGAATGTAAAGCACTTAGTACAGTTTATGAAATAACCGGTATTCAATAAATGATAGTTTCTACAGTAAAAAAAAATTTAATAGGGAATCTTTCCTGTTTCTGTTGTATGTATTTACAGCAGTACTAAGGGGGCTATGATTAGGGTGGTCATGTGTTCCTGGTTGTCTGAGACAGTCACAAGGCATGCTTGGTGATCCAGTGTTATTAATAGTGCCCCCTTTCACTCTCAGAGATGTCCTTGTTTGGAGGATAAATTATATGGTCACACAAGATCTTGACAATTCAGTGTCTATCAAACTACTCCCACTGACAGTAGCTAGAAATACAAGTACAGGTGTGTGCGTGGCGCGCACGCACGCACACACACACACACCTGTTTGAAAGCAACAAAGGGCTATTAAGACAGTCCAGGGGTTGAGGGTCCAAGATTTCAGGGAGAACAGAAATGCCGTGAGGTGAGTGGGACACCCCAAGCTGCTTTCTTTCCTCTTTGAAATGTTGGCTGGTTTGTAAGTGGAAGAAACAAAGGGGCTGAAAAGCTGAACAGAAAACGATAGTTCTCAAAAGGAATATATTATGTAAAATATATATATATACAGTGGAGTCTTTTAATAAGTATAAAAGAAAAAGCCCAAGTGATATGAAAGCACGGTATCATAGTAAAAGTGGCAGTTTTTAAAAATATATTTTTATTTATTTCAGAGAGGAAATGGAAGAGAGAGTGAAACCTCAATGATGAGAGAGAATCATTGATTGGCTGCCTCCTGCACGCCTGCTCATCCCCCACTGGGGATTGAGCCCCCCACCCAGGGATGTGCCCTGACCCCTTGACCCTGACTGGGAATTGAGCTGTGACCTCCTGGTTCATAGGTTGATGCTCAACTGCTGAGCCACGCATGCCAGCTGGGCAGCAGCTTTTTCTTCTTAGTGGTACATGTTACACTTTAGGGCAGCGGTTCTCAACCTGTGAGTCGTGACCCTTTGGGGGTCGAACGACCCTTTCACAGGGGTCGCCTAAGACCATCGGAAAACACATATATAATTACATATTGCTTTTGTGATTAATCACTATGCTTTAATTATGTTCAATTTGTAACAATGAAATTGGGGGTCACCACAACATGAGGAACTGTATTTAAAGGGTCGTGGCATTAGGAAGGTTGAGAACCACTGGTTTAGGGCATCTTAGGTTTCTTTTTAAACAGGGGCCCAGTTCACTGTCCCTCAGACCGTTGGAGGGCCGGACTATAGTTTTAAAAAAAACTATGAACAAATTCCTATGCACACTGCACATATCTTATTTTGAAGTAAAAAAACAAAACGGGAACAAATACAATATTTGTATTTGCATGTGGCCCGCGGGCTGTAGTTTGAGGACCCCTGGCTTAGAGCTTGGCCCCAGGGACCTGCACATCCTTCCCTCCGGAGGGAAAATAAAGGTCACCTCCCAGGTGGTGCTGGTGGGGAACACGGACTATGGAGAGAGGAAGGGATCTTAGATGCTGCCCAAACCCAGGGGTTCTGTAAGGCATTCAGGATGGTTGGCCTTGTTACAGGTGGCAGTGTCTTCTTTTAAATTTCTATTTAGAAAAATAATAATTAATTATTTAGACAACACCTTGGCCCATTCTAAGATAACTTTGGGAGTCTCTTTCTACTGGTTAAAGATATAAAACATAAGTTTACTGAAATAAAGACCGTACAATGAAGCTTCTACACATTTGACTCAAGAAAAATAATAATGAATGTAACAATAAATCCCATCAATCCAGCCTGGATTATGCTTGTCTTTATTTTGCTGTAGTAAAATATAATTTAAAAAAATTTAAAAAGAGGTCCACATAGACCAAAAAAAAAAAAAAAAAAAAAAGCACAGGATAGTCATTAATTCAGCCTTGGGGACAGTGTTCACATTTTCTGGTTTTTTAAAAAGAAGTGATATCCAGATATTTGTACGCGACCTCTTGATTTTAAATATTAGGAACCAGTTTAAAAATTAAACTCG